AATTTGCTCCCTTGTTTCTCTCTTTAGATCTTCTGGACCCTTTTTATTTCTCTCTCTCTCTCTTTCTCTCTCTCTCTCTCTCTCTCTCTCTCTCTCTCTCTCTCTCTCTCTCTCTCTCTTTCTCTCTCTCTCTCTTTCTCTGTGTGTGTGTGTGTGTGTGTGTGTGTGTGTTACAACCTTTACCTACTTACAATCTATGTGACGTGGGGTGGCTTGTTGGCTTGTTTAGTTTCAAGAAATGATGAAAATGAGGCTCCATTTCAAAAACCCCCAAATAGATCACTTTTATGATGTGTTTGTGTTTCAGGAGTTTTAAGGTTTGATCTACCCGTTTATTCAACCTTAAACATATGAAGCTCCCCGTTGCACTTATTTGCCAATTACTTTATAGACTCTTTATACTTTTTGTTTAAAAACGGTGGGGTTGTTTTGGCTTGTCGTATATTTTTTCCCCCCTTTGCTTGAAGATAGATCATTATTCAAATATAAAAGTGACTTGGGGGAAGAACATCTTAAAGTTTATTTAGAAATTCACCAAGCCACATACTAATGCATCTCTAATGGGCATTTCTTTTCACACCTCTAAGGTGATTGAGCCTGTCCTTTAAAGTGAGATCTGCAAACCAGTGTCTGGCAGCTCCAATTAGCTTCTTTTGGGCTTGAAGCACATCACAAACAGTAACAAGGTCTCCTAGGACACTCTTGCAAGCAATGTAGTCATATTTCCTCATTAGTTCTTTTCAATTGTCACTAATGCCATGTTCCTGCTTTTAAGCAGGAGACAAAAAAACAAAACAAAACACAAACCCATAAAATTTGGTATGTATGTAGGATGGGCCATTGTTTTCCATAATTCAAGGCTCTTTTGAATTCCTTTGATACTTTTGAAGCTTACACAGCTTAATTCATTAACCTTTACCCTTCACATAAATCAGGTGATTAGGAATCTATTGCTAAGGTGACAGATTTTCCCTCCACTGAAGCTAAGAAATGCCTTCTCTTCTTTAAAAACAAAACACAAAAAAATAACCCTGTTTGGCTCATAAAAGAAATTTTTTTCTGGCTTTTCAAATTTCATCAAATATTTCTGGTACATTTTAAAGCATTATCAAAGCAAGTGAGCATAAAATTATGTTATTATAAAGAAGATTCTGGATACTTTGGAACAGGTTTCCTGTCCCTTTTCAGTATTCTAACGGAGTTTATATGTGTGTACTCAACAGCTGTTACTCAGGGATTTACAATGGGTGTAGTTTTTTTTTTATTCTCTTCACAACCCTGCCAAAACATTAAAGCAGGAAAATAATCTGAGGGGTGGCAGTTCAGAATAAACTAAAATATATTTAAATGCACCAAGGACACTTGGTCTAGAGGAATCCTTCACACAGGCCCCGTTTTATAGAGCTTGCTGATGCGGGCTTCAGGGAAGGCAGGTGGTGATTCTGTGGTTTCACGAAGGTGAGGCTGGGATACATGTCTTCGGATTCTTTATTTCCTCTCGTTAAGATGTCTCCCTTTGTTTCTCAGAACTCAGGAAGATGGTTTACTGGGTTTGTGTTTGATGTTCATGGGCCACTATAACAGTATTTGCTATTCCTCCTCATTGTTCCCCTATTCCAGTTTTTTTCTTATGAATTTCTCTTTAATAATAATATAGATTGTCACTCTCCTTAAGGATATACTTCTTTCCCAAATTTTTTGATTCCTTTGATTGTCGTGCATGAAATGGGTAATCCTTAATGTTCTGACCCATATTGGCCCTATGGTATTCTGAGGTTTGCTCTTAGGGATTGTGGGAAAAGGGGTTTTGGGTAATAATGGGAAATATTAGAATTCTGGAATATGAGTTTAGGGACTCATTGCTTGCCCCAATGACTAGCTATGGTTTATCACGGAGACGAATGAATGTTTTCCTAAGTGGTATCCTTGAATAGGAGAGGGAATAGAGAAGCAAACGTTTGAAATGTGGTCTTTGGTTCTCTCACTCTCCTCCTTGTAAACATTTCTCTCTCTTATTGCTGCCATTTTTAAAACACTCCTTTAACAACATACATGAACATCTATAGTTTAAATCATTTTAAGCTTAAACGATCACTAAGCTTTAGTTTAAATAGTTGCTAAGCTTTTCCACCTTGTTTGTTGCCTACAGACCATATGTACAGTGAACTGGGAAATGCTCTGATGTTAACTCACCGAAGGCCATGGCTAGAGCCAACATTCTTTTAAAACTGAGTAGAATTATTTAGAGTAAATGTGGTACACGGACTTGTGTTATGTTAGGGTATTTCTGTGAGTATATTTAAGAATAGACTCTCCTTCAGCTCTTCTCTCCCCCCCACCACCCCCATCATGTGCCATCATGACTTGCTGTAGGCACAGGCTGCCTGGACACGAGACCTAGTGTGATCACGGCGCTTCAGGCAATAGCCAGAGTCCTGCCTTGGGGTTCCATTTATACACCAATGTGCCATAATAGGATAATGCAGACTAGTTCCATTTTCAACTCTGGAAACAACAGCTATTTTACCTATCAATTTGAATCTCTCAATTTTGTGTTTTATTATTATATTAACAATTTCAATCCAGATTCCCAGAACTTGGAGTTCCTCTCCTCAAATATCGTATCAGTAAATGATGATGTTCAAGTTCAAAACATTAAAGTTTGCTATACATCTTCCAAGAAATAATATTTTATGAGTTCTTGTCTGAAGAGTAGTTTTGTGTTGTACATAACTTCTAGCATACTGTAATTAAAAGTATTTGCAAAACTGTGTAACTAAACTGTCAAAAACAGAGCAAAAATCCTAGGTGGTCCTTTGTAAAAGCAAAAGATCTTACAGTTTTCTTCTTTTTCTTTTTTCTTTGTCTAAAAGTTACTTATTGCTTACTTATAATCTTATCTCTCAGTTATTGCCTCTTGAGTAAGCTTAATATATTTGCAGTATCTACTCATAATCACTTTTCTCTGCTGTGTAGAAAGGAAACTCTATGCTCATGGCCTTTCATCAGCTTTAGGACAGTTTCCATCCAGTGATTGATTATCTTGTGTTACATGAATACGGGTTCCTGTTGACTATGAAATAGCATTTGATCTGACTTGTGCAGTAAAATCAATTTGTCTTATTTGCTGTTGATAGTCTGCCCTATGTATCTTTAATGTTTACATGTGCTTGTAGCATATCTAATATAGAATCAAGTAGCAGGAACATAAATAGGATATTGCATTTGTTTAGTTTTTTCATAATAATATATAAATTTGGGCATTTTGAACTACTTGAAAAGAGAATGAGAACAAAATAAATGATATGATGATTATTTCTGCACTAATTTCTTTCATTTTGGCCATACAAAATATTGATTTTACTAACATTTTTGGTTGGTAATGGAGGACTGTGAAATATGTTTCTTTGAAATGATAGAAATTAGTCAGGCTTTTGTTTTAACTACTAAAAATTTTATAATCATCTAGGGCCTATATTTTTTATTCTTAGCATGTGGAAATTGGTTTTTAAAATTATATAGAAAATGTGGTTGTTGTCAGTAATGTTTCCTTTTTCCTTTTATCCTTCCCTTTTTCTGATTTTATTAAAATGCTACATTAAACCCAAATGTGGAACTAGGTTTTTATTTTTATTTTATTTTTTTGGAATTAGGTTTTTAAATTTCTCTTCATAATAAACTGTATCAATCATAATTATATTTTATTAAAGCTTTAAGTTTTCTTTTATTGCTACGGAAATCCTTATCAATTTTTATCATATTTTAAAAAAATACCCCCAAAAGAATATTTATCCAGTTATTCTGAGGAACTCTGAAATGTTTATCATCCCATTAAGATAATATTTTATAAAAATACATTTTAAAAGAAAAACATGCCTTTTTTATAATGAATTTAACCTTCAATAATGAATTTTTGGGAAGCAAAATTGCATACAATTCCCTGACATTTTATGAAGATACCTGAAAATAAGCCAGACAGCAAATAAAATATCTGAAAGACAGAGATGGCTGCTCAGTAAATTTTTGATGGATTATACACATAGGTATCAAATTACTTGATCCTTCCTTCCTAGAAAAGGTTAATGACTCTTTTTGCTTTTACCCTTTTACTTACCTGCTATTTATAAAGATTAAAACAGAGACTGCACTGAAGACTGCATGTGCCTGTGTGTCACTGTGATGGTTCAGGTTTTTCTGATATTATAGGGAACTGAGCCACAAAATGGATAGTGTTGTTAATCATTATTTTAAAAGTTCATTCAATTCTGCACTACATATCCCGCTAAGGCTATTAGAGCAGAGTGTACCATTCAAAACCTTTTAACTTAAACCAGAAAGACTATAAATCTTACATATCTATATTAGTATTATTGAAATGACCTGTGTCTATGCAATAATTCATTAAAATATTAAGTAGAAACCACTTTAAATGAAAAGATCTTAAAGCTCTTATGTGTGCAAAAATTTTTCTTTCTGTAATCAATGTTATAGATTTTTAAGGCAAATTTTATGTTAAATAAAATTTCCCAAAACAATGTGTGTTTCAGTTATTCAAGCCCCATATTCATAATTGAACTATAAGCAATATTATCATCCACTTATAATCACCATCCATCTAGATAGTCTACACTTCATTATAATCATTTTTATATTATTTTATAATATTAACGATATATTCATTATATAGAAAATATTTACTAGCCTTTTATGACCAAATGTAACATTATTCTTATAGGAATATCTCCTTTTTCATCACTTGGTTGTAAAAGATGCACTAGTCATAAATGTACTAAATTAAAGTCATTTAGGTATTAGAGCACTTGAGTTTAAAACTGGAATATAATACCTTTTCCTGAAACACCTTGAAAGAGGATTGTTGAAAGAAGAGAGCTATGGCATTCATCAAAAGCTGACCTCTTCCTGTTATGGTCCTGACCAAACTCTTCTAATTTAACTTGAAACACATTAGTGCATCTCACCACTTTTTGTGTGTGTTTCAGGTGTGTGGAGGTCATCGCAAAGGAAGGACAAAACCTGAAAGAGCTGTATTTGGTGTCCTGTAAAATCACCGATTATGGTATGTAATGAGCCATTGTTCTAATCCTTTTCAAGAATAAAAAGTTACAAAGTCTTTGAAAGGTTTTAAAGAGACATCAAGAGCAATATTTCCTAGAGACTTTTATCTTTATTTGGGTTAACTCTGATCGTAACAGTGAAAAAGGCAAGAAATTGTGAAACTATACAAGAGTAAAATAGTATATCAATTTATTGCTATATGTAATCACACATACATGTACACATGATGTATGATTACATGTAGGATTAAAACGTATGCTAAAAGATCTATACAATGAAAATATCAGGATAATTAAGTATTTGATTAATAAATATAACTAAAATTATTACATTGAGTTGATTTGCTTAATTTAATGTCATATCACATGCATTCCTGCTGATATTCCAAATGCCAAACGTTTTAATGCTTTAATTCTTTTTTAAAGCATTGGAAATGTCTGTGTGTAGATATATTGAATAAAGGAAAAGACAAATATTTGTATGCACCATTTTAAATCAACCTAATTTTTAGTGTCCAGTTAAGGTGGGAAAAAAAACACATGTTGTTTTATAAAAATATGAAAGGTATAAAATCATTCTGTTGGAGAAATAAAGAAAAAATAAACTAGTTTTTCTATTTTATTTAGGTTTATAATTGTTCAAAGTTTTAGCCAGATATCTGTCTTTATGGTGTCCAAATGGCTTTCTTTTCTCTGTTCTAATATTTTATTTGTCCATTTATATTTGAGAATATGTTCTTTACCTTGAGGGAAACTAATGACCTGTTAAGTTTTTATTGTTAATGGTGACATATGCTACTACTCGACTCCACTCCTGAGTGTCAGGCTGCCCAGCTGCCCTGAGTAGGAGTGTTGTATTTTATCAGCTGCTAAATTCATCCTTTGGAAAACTCTACTGAAACTACAATGTAAACATAACATAAAAAAGGGTTGGCTTAAAAATAACCCTAATTTCTTTTCAGAGTTTACTTTTTGAGAATAGTAAATGTAGATTTGTTCATTAATTAGTACAGTCATTCATTCCAGACTCTTTACTTGGCATTCAAGATCCTTTACCATTAGCCCTCTATCTGCCCCTTCAACTTTATTTTCTTCCCTTTACCTGTTCAATGCATTGTTAGCTTGCTAATAGCCAGGAGAGCTATGGATTACGTTTCTTAGCATGAAACCTTCAAGATCCCACAGTGGAAAATGTTCCTTGAAATTACACCTGTTAAGTTAGCCAGTACAGAGAAACGTACCAGAAGACATGGAGAAGAGAAATCTATGCACTTGAGATAGTTCTGGGATCAAGTTCTGTCTTTGTTTGTTGGCCTTGACCTTTCTGAGGCTCAGTTTCCTCATTTGTAAAGTGTGGGATTGATGTTTGACTTCATACTTCTTTATGGGCATCCAGTTTAATGGTTAGCACAGAATATTCTACTGAAAAATGTTGCTTTCCTACAGGAGGGGGGTGGAAAAAAGTTTCACACAAAATTCTTCTCTCTCCTTTCCTTTTGTAGGTCTTGGAAGAGGTTTTTGTTTTGTTATTGGTGCCACTGTTCATTGTTATTGTTTATTGTTAGTGATAGTCTTGGTCTGGTGTTTTGAGATTGTAGGCTTCCTTTTCTTCTGGTGAGGCAAAAAGTATGTTGAAACCTTGCCAATATGCTTTGCATTTATTCATGTCTCTCGATTATTTAGATCAGTGCACCTTAGAATCACTTGGGGAGTTTGCCTGAGCTTCTCTCATGAATCAGAATGTCTAGGAGATAAGGCCCATGCAGCAGTTTTGTAAAACTTGCCTCAGTGACATTATGTCAGCCAAAGGCGAGAACACCTGATCCAGTCCAGGTGAGAAGAACCAGAAGTGAACACTGTGGGACTTCCCTCTGTGGTGATTAGAGCCTCATCAGTTTTCCTCAGACCTTCAAGGCTCTTTGTCCCATCTGTTCTCTCCTTCTTTTCCAGGGTTTGCAGCCTTCAGAGGGTTTGTGGTGAATGTCTCTGTGCCTTTTTTGATTCTGCTGTTCAAAATGTTGGATCCCCATAGAGGATGAGAGGAAAAGGTCGATAGTTTATGAGATTGTCATATAATTGCTATCTGATTATAAAATTTAAACAAATTACTGAAAGCTCGCTCAGCTCATCTCTTTTTCCCCAGTTCCATGCCAATAACACATGAATAATTTTTCTCAAAAAAAAAAAAAAAAAAAAGACAGCAAAAAGGATTATTCACCGTAACCAGAGAAACAGCATGTTATTGAGGTAACTGCTCTGCTAGGGAGGGCTGACTGTGATCCCTCACCCTGTGTGGATTTTAAATGTTAGCAAAGAAAAACACATGCCTCATTCCTTCTTTAACTGGATAAATAGAGATGTGTTCTGTAGAACTTTATGGAGGCTGCTGAGAAATTGCAAAATTGTTTTTAACTATTTTACTTATTTTCAGAGAGAGAGGAAGGGAGAGGGAGAGACAGAAACATTGATGAGATAAGAGAGAAACATTAATGGGCTGCCTCCTGCACACCTCACACTGGGGACCAAATCTGTAGCCTCCTGGTTCCTGGGTTGAGGCTCAACCACTGAGCTATGCTGGCCCGGCTGAAATTGTAAAATTTGATGTTACCTGATACCTGGAAAATGTCCTCCTTCCAGAGGACTACTCCCTAATCTGCTTCTTGTTGCTCTACTCATATTCCAGCTACTTGGTCTCCTCTCTTCTCATGTTTGTACATGTTTTCAGTGTAGAATACTGAGAGTTTTGAAACTTTTTTTGTAGGATGCATTAATTTAGAAACAACAGCTTGCCTGGCATATCATTTGTAATTTTTGTCAAGATTCTCACAGATGTTGAATGTGTTATTATAATACTTAGCAACACCTGGCCAGGTCATTCTGAAGTTGTGTTTATTTTAATTTATATATGATGTAGTTGTCATGAAGAAAACTATCATTCCAACTGGCTTCTTATTCCCCAAACTGAACATAAATCTTTATGGTAAGGGATAGCAATTATAAACAAATCAATAATTCAGACACAGCTCAATGGAAAATACAGTCTTGGAAAATTGTTCCCTGAAGAGAAATCTAATATTGTCACTCTTCTATTACTGAACAAATATATGTTATGGGCAGTGCTGTGGGAAAAACTCAAACTTAAGAGTGAGAGATTAGGTTAGAATTTCAGCTTTACCTCTTCTATGCTTTGTGACCTTGAGCAAGTTACTTAACCCCCTAGTCTTGTCATCTCTTAGGCACATGATAATACTCACCATCCAAGGTAGTGAAAATGAATATTAAACATCTGTGTCATTCCTGATGACATATGGATGCTCATCCCAGTTGGCATTTCTTAGGATAAAAATCATCAGAATCAGCTCTCCTCCTCCTCTCAGTGGGGCTTTTCCGCTTGTGGAATCATTATTAGGAAGTTTGACCTGTTAGTCTATACCCATCTAATTGATTTCTATACCGAAGCTGTCTAAATCAAGTTGTAGGGAATAATGAGAAAGTTATAGCAGAAAGTCTAAAGTCTTTAATTTGCTGGTTAGGTTTCTGCCCTACCTCTGGTCCTTGTTATCTTCCTTTTTGTTTAGGTGATTTTTCTTGGGTCCCCTTATGCTTTTCTTTGTTTCTATAATAATTTGTCAGTTAAGAGCTTCCAACCCATCTTTCCACTCACCTTTCAACACTTTTCTGTTGAAACTTTTCCTCCTTGGGAAAGTGTATATTGAGGGTTCAGAGGAAGACAAGGAACAGAAATCAACCTGGACCATTCAAGCCCTGGAGGTCAGAACCAGTCTGTGTCTTGGGCTGCGGGCCCAGAGGGATGATGTAATAACTGAAATGGACGAGTAAAGCACTCAGCTTTATTTGTGGTCTCCATCGTGGATTTTACCAGCGCGATCCCATTTCAGGGGGCAGGTGTGAAAAGGACCCAGGTTTCTTTCCGGATTGTCATTGCATTTCTTTTGACTTAAACATCCCCGAGGGTCCAAGAAATACTCTCTAGAGGACATCCGTTGGTTTTTCTTCTCAAGTTGTCAAATAACTTTTAATTAAGGAGGACTGTAAACCCTCAATTACTGACATTGCTGTTTGGGGCCTACAAAGTCACTGACAACCTATGGCTCACTCTGTGCTCTTCACAAGCGCCTCTGTCACTCCCACAGGCCTGGGCTGCTCTCCCCAGACGGTCTTCCCCTGACCCTTATTCTGCCTACTCCAAGTGCGCTTCTACCAGACCTGGGCCTTTTAAACCTAACCCAAAAGCTTTCCACAAGAGCTTTTGGGTTGCCCTGGACTAAAGGTCTCCCAAGTCAACAGGGTCATTGTTCCCATGGTTATCATTGTCCTGTTACATGACAGACATGATATATATTCATTCTGTCAACAAATATTGATTCAGCACCTACTATAATATATGGTGGAGGTAGGCCATGCATAGTTTCAGCATTCCTGGAGCTTTCATTCTGGTGGGATCCAGAGGACAGGGCTAGCCTACTTATTTTTTTTAAAGAGGCGGGGGGTAGGGGGTGGGAGGAAGGTAATGCATCTCCTTTCAGACAAGAAGAATGACAGAGAGTGGTCCGCTCACATTAATCTTTGCTTTGGTGTAACCCATGCCTCACCCCAGCCTTATTGACCTTCTAAGGCTATTGAAAGATTAATAGTTCTGCATTCCCAACCTCTTATGGGGATACCAAACCTCTTTAACTGTTAGCTAATCCAAAATGGGGACCCAGGATACATTATCAAAGTAAGCACACTGAAAAAAAACAGAATGAAATCCCAACAAGCCTTCTGGGCTACATAGAGTCAAACCAACACTGATATTTTATCCAAGAAAAATACATTGTACCAAAAATAATTTTGCTTTATGTTATATTATCTTTTTTATATTATTAGGTATGCGTTACATGCAATGATGTTACATTTAAAACTAAATTCCTGTCTTTTCCCTTTTCTCTTTTATGTTTTGTTTCATTTTTGAGTTGTATTTCAAAGATTGCTGGATAAC